CAGGTGCCTTTATTTCCCTCCGAATCTTCCCCAACGGGAGTGGCAAAGCAAACTCTGGATAAACCACTATGGCTGACAGCGGGATGCAAAACACGCCTGGAACTCCTTCAGCATCTTCTCCATCTGATGACTCAGCCACTGACCTCGCCTCAGCACGAACGCCCCCGCAGGAACACACACTTTTGCGCGCTTGTTGGCTCCGAAAATTCAACTCCTTGCTCAAGCTTCAAACCTTGCTCACTTGCTGACTCAAAAGACCAACTCCTTTCTCAATTAACCGGCACCGTTTCTAGTGTTGCTTCTGATGACTTGGCCCTATCGCCGAAAAATTCGAACTCCCACAACCCAATTCCGAGCGAGCCCTCTTGTGTGCCACACAATTGGCGATGAATCGTAGTAGGGAACCACCTCCAAAGTGGTCCGCGGCGCAAATAATATTCACCACCGGATTTTCCAAATATTCATTATCTTCCCAGAAAGAAAGTCCAGGAACTGTGAGACAAACCAATAATACTCCCAGAAAGAAAGCCCAGTAACCGAGGTGAGACAACGCACCACACTCGGCTCGAAGAGGGGCCCCGGGCTTGTTCACGTGCCCCAGGCGCGCGACTTGCAGTGCCGGCACCTTTGAGGTGAAGGGCCTCAAACGCGCGACTCTCGCGGAAGGAAGCAATGAATCCCTCTGGGTGTGTCTTTTTAACTTCCATTTGGTTAAGGCGCCAGGAAAAAAACCAACATATTTCCAGTAGTGATGAATTCCTTTACGCCCTCTAAGCGCTCCAAGTGTGTCTTTTTGAGGGGTGCCTTCCGTGTCTCGAGGGGGTCCCTAGGGGTGCCTTCCCTTCCATTTCCAGTCTGAATCCAGGGCTGCGAATCTTTTCAGGAAACTATCCAAAAACCCAGGAAAAAAAACGATCCGGGTTTTGGAAAGAGCGATATTTGAAAAGAATGGTTGGAATCAACCCCTAGAGTGTCTTGTTAAGGGTGCTCGCTTCCCGAGCGGGTTGGCCAGAAAAAGTCCGAACCTTCTGTTGCCACCAAGCTGGCCTCCCCCAAAAGGCTAAAGTCCAGGAACCCAGGGAGTGAGGGTACCCTTGCTGGGGTTGTCATTGAGCTTGGCAGGTCAACCAGCTCACGCACCAGGAAGTTGAGCAACGCGTGCTGGCCAGGCTCTCTAATGCCACTTCCTGAGTGGATTTGCCGAACATCATCCAGGCTGCATGCTTGCCACTAGTGTGGTCTTCTCAAAAAGTGTAGGTCACAACTCCAAGTGAAGGACTCCATTTTCACGACGAGTTTTCCATACGGGGAAATGCCGTGGTATCGCTGAAGTTGGCCAACCCCAACCCGTTGAACCGCCGGTGCGTCTCCGACTCTCCGACTCCTCGACTCCAGGACTCTGCTAAGGTCAGAGCAGGTCGGAGACCAAAAACCGTCGACACCCCAAATCCGCCAAGGCGGTGAGGAAGCATTGCAGGTTGGACACCACCTGGCCACATAAAAAACAAGCTACCTGGATCGCCAGTGGCTGCTTCTTTCCATGAACTTTACCCCAGAAAACAGCAACAGTGACGCAAAAAGACAGCAACTTGGTTATCCAGGTACCTCAAAAGCGGGGGTTGGGCACCTTAGATCCCCAACTCAACTTTGCTGGCAGCTAAACATCCCCAATGGAGAAGGGTCGCGGACTGGGACTGGGACACCCTCTTGCAACTCAAGGGCTTGGCTTACCTTTAGGAGGGAGTGGTGAGAGTACCCTTGCCATCTTTGCCCCTCCCACAGCGGCAACCAACGGCTCAAAATATACCCTTGGAGCAGTGAAGACACGTAGATTGACCGCCGACTTTTCCGATGGGACTATTCGCTAGGGACCCTCACCGGGCAAACCCTATGGCCGCAGCCACGGGGTCTAAAAAGACCTTACTCCACTAACCAGTTCTTGGGTTTTCCGGAATCATTGAAGGGGAGAACAAACCTAGATATCAAGGAGCCCCTCGAGAAAAAAAACAACTTCCCCAACAGACCACGTCACAAAACATAGCAAACACAATGCAAACACATTGTTTTGTGCAATGTTTTGTAGCTACTTTAAGCAAAGCGCTTGTCCATCTGCCCTCAGCCCCTACTAGGAAAAAGCAAGGCAACCCGCCGACATAAAACCCATCCACCAACCGAAAGTACTCCCATCCGTGAGTAGAAACAAGATCTCCAATTCCATGGCAGAATTGTCGCTGAAGCTGTTTGGACCCTCTTGCACTTTGTCGTCCCAGGGCTGCTGAAAGGACAACACTTGCGGGTCGTCCGTTCTGCCCTGCATGCCAAAGTTTGGCGTAGGTTAGCCCCACAAATGAACGGAGCAAAGGATCAAATGTCGAAGGTCCTTCTTAAAGTGCCATCCTCCGAACCGTCTTCCAAGTGCGGGATAGAAATGAGCATGTTGGCAAGTGACATTGAGAAGCCCCCAAGATGGTTCACTTTGCCTTGGCGGCCCAGGGAACACCAAACAAAAGTGCCCTCCGGCCTCCGCCCACTAACATGGAATTTGAGTGAGGGGTGCAGGAAGACACCGTTCCCTGGAATGGGAGCCTCTGGTGGGTTCCATGCTAGTGGACAGGAGGGTATTCTCAGACGCTGCTTCATCCTCAAATGGTGAAATCACCCCAGCCAGTTCTGGGGGGGTGAGTGACACGCCAAGTGAAGGATTTGGAGCCGCGGGTCTTTGCTTTCTGCTGAACAGCGCTCATCTCACCTCAGAGTGGAGCAGTGGAAGAGCCATCTCAGAAGCCCAGAGGAGAAGTCATGCCCGCAATGAAATCAAGTCCAGCAAGCGCAAGGGGGGGGGGGGGTTTGTGAGGGCTGGGAAAGAGTCAGTTCAGCCGTTCAGCCACAACTAAACTAAACATGTGTGGCGTTGGGGGCTGGAGAAACAATGTAAAGTGGTCCTATTTAGAGTCTAGCCAACTCCCTTGGCAAAGAAGGAGTATCCTCGCAGGAGATCTCCAGGAAATTACCCCAAATCAGGATTGGTGGATTGACCCTATGCCTGCAGCTGTTGGGGCTTTGGTTTTAACCAGTTTTTCCCGTTAGGTTGAGCAAGGAAAGCATGCTTTGTCGCAGTTTGGCAACTGGGTCAAGCGCCACCCTGGCGAATCCACCCTTTGAATGAAACCCGTGTACATCACCCCGTGCACATCGGCTGGGAGAACACCAGCGATCAACTTCCGCGAGAATCCACCGACATAGACAACCCTAAGGACACCTGAAGGAAACCAGGGCCGGCCGTTTATTCCCATTTCCCAGAGAAAGTCCAAACTGTTTGACAATTGTCTTCCAAAAAGTATCATGTCGGGAACTGAGGGAATGAGTAACAGCGTCGCAGTCGCCCAGTGGCTCTAAAAAAAGAATGGAGCAACAGCCAAAGGTGAAACGAAAATCCAATCGGATTCACAACCAATACCAGAAACCTACCATTTTGCAGCTTCTTGGCCACGACCAGAAACCCAGCATGTTGGAGCTTTTTGGGAGCTTTTCGGGTGCAGCAACACCCAGTCTACAAGCCCTTTGTCGAGGACTTTCTGCAAGGGCGGTTGGAGCCGCAGTGGCCACATCGGCTACGGGAGGCGTGGCGTGCTAATACCTGGAAGAAGTTGGTCCGGGATCGCCTGCAGCATTTTGCTGGAGCCGGTGGCGGCATCAACAAAGTGACCATTGCGTGGCTTCTCAAGCTCACTGAGCGAGCCGACACTGTGCAGTTTTTACAAGACAAAGGATTACTGCCAGCCCCATCGGCGGAGGAGGACCCCAGGGCGAAGTTGAAGGTACTTTGCATGCTCCTGACGGCGGGGCTTATGACGCCTAGTCGAGATCACGCCCACAGGCGCAAGGAAGGAGTTGTCAAATGTGCTTGTGGCGCACTAGATCCGACCATCGAGCATATAAGTTGGAAATGCCGCCTCTCTTCACAACGCAAAGAGCGCCAGCACTACAGAAGCTTCCGCGCCTACATCGGTTGCCGATTTGCTTTCGGATGTGCACTCTCGTTCCGAGGAACATCAGCAAGGAGGACTTGGAGGTTCAGAATTCCTTGGTGCAAGTCTGGCAAGCTCACATCGAGTGGACAGAGTCAACTGTGCAGGCTGTCGTGATACCTCAGAGGCCGCCTACGGCGGAGCAATCTGGGCCGACGGAGGTCGTGCGCCCGGCCGAAAAGAGGGGCCACGTCAAGCTGATGGACGGTGGCGTCTTCTGCGAGTGCGGAAAAGCACGAAGTTGATGAAGCACCAGAGGCTCAAGATCCTGAAAAACCCTTGCCGATTTGCAGGGCTCTCTCCCAAGTGGGTAGATGGACCTGGCTACCTCCGTTCGAATAACCGCATTCAACAACTGGAAGAGCTCAACCGAAAGTACAACACGGGTGGGCATGATCTTGTGTGGAACCAATTGCAGGGCAAGGAGCCTGAAAAGCCCGATTATGGAAAACTCTGGTGCAAGCAGTGCGGGCGTCAGTGGGCCTGGCGACATAGGCACAACAACATGAAGCGCACTGTTTGCCGGCCAGCGACAGGTGGTGCAACCTGACTGGGTGCAAGCTTTTCTCGCCTCACAACCACCGAGCGCGCCTGGTGATGCTGGCGCACAACCACACGCCACCGCGTACACGCCACACGCTCACACTCCACGCTCACGCTCACACCACGCACGCACACCCAACTACGCAAACGCATGCATGGCAAGCAAACACTTACCCACGCAGCAGTACCACAACATGCAAGATGAGACGTTGGCAGAAGGGATCGAGTTGCCGAGTGGGTCGTCCGATATCCCCCGGCAAGGCATCGGCTGAGTGGACAATGGTCTGGAGTGGAACGGCGGCATGCCGTACTGCTATTTCAAGCCGTTACTACTTTTGGGAGCTTTTTGGGTTCAAAGGGGGTCAGTACTACCCAGGAACCTGACCACTTGGATTTTTTTGGGGGGAACCAGCTCTGCAGCTTCGTCACAAAGCTCCGCAGCTTCGTCACCCTCCGCCACGCCCGCCGGGCGCGGTCCAACAGCGAGCCAGGGAATCCGTCGGAAGCCAGGTCGGCCTGACTCGAAAGGCCCAGTGGCATCTTCGAAATTCGGGTCTCGGCAATGTTGGCTCCGGATACATCACACGCAATGACGAGCTTAAGACACCTCTGTTTGATTAATAGCGGGGTGTCCCCTTTTAGTAGGACTCCGGATCACTTTTGTGGGTGACACCCCCTTAGGATGGATTTATTCATTCGGAGTTTTCAGCAAACGGAAGTCCAAGGCAACCAAACAAATTGCCCTACGCTTGTTGGCTGGCCATCTTTCATGGAAACTACCTCTCCTACTTTAGCTAGGTGACAGACACCAAACGCTCAAACCAGTGGCTAGAGAGGTAGCTTCCCTGTGCGGACACCAACCAATGACCTCACTCTCTGAGCTCATGGGCTTGACACTTTTTGGGTGGAATTTGGTGCCTAGCACCTGGCCGTGCTGCTTCAAGGGCCCACGGATCAACACGAAGCCTCAAAAGGCCGCACCAGTTTTGGGCTGGGAATCCTCTGTCCGTTTTGTTGGACTCCATGTTAGGGTTCCATTAGGGGCCGAAACGAGCTTGTTTGCCACCAAACTGGTGTTCCCAAAAACGTGAGCAATTGGCCAGAACAAGTCCAAACTTCTTGCTTGCCACGAAAATGGTCCAAACCCGAAAAGTGTAAAACAAGTCAACTCAGGAAGTGAGACTAAGGGTGACTTGACTTCTATGGAAACTATCTCTCCTATTCTAGTCAGTGGTTGGCATCTTCGCGATTGAGTCGAACAGTTTGCACAGTGCTGGACATACAACCCTACTCCAAACAACTACTCACTTTTCAAAGCGGGACAAACCTGCTTGTGTTTGGAAGAAACTACCTCTCCTATTTTAGTCAATTGGCATCTGGCATCATACCCTTAAACCCGTGGCCCTTTGAAGGTGCAACCCGCCGCCTGCCTCAAGCTCCTCCAAGGCGAGCTGCGCCTCCGAATGCCCCTGGGCTGCGGCGCGCTGAAGCCAAGACCTTGCCTCGAAGCGAGCGACCATGAAACCACCAAAGGTTCTAAGGGTTGATTCTTAGCTTTGTAGCCTTTTAGTTGTTAGTGGAAAAACTCTAGGAGTTGATTCCGATTCCATTCTTTCTAACCATCGTTCTTTTCGAAAACCGGATCCGTTTCCCTGGGTTTATAAGAAGGATCCCCGTAGCACTAGAAAGCCCCCCCACTAGTTACCCCCAAGGAAAAGGGGTAAATGCTTTTGCGGGGCGGCTTCATTTTGACAGCTTGATTGACCACATAGCTGTTACTGCGGGGGAGAGGGGCGGCTTGGAACCAAGCAGGGCGGCGAGCTCCTTTCGAAAGGAAAGGCGGGAGCAAGGAACATAGGAAAGAAAAGCAGCCCTTGGTTTTGCAGTAGTGGTCTACACGTTTTATGTTTGCGATTGAAAGCACTAAGGACAGTCTTGTGTGTAGCGTCCGTTTGCTAGAACCCATTTCGGTCGCCCAAGTTGCTCCACCTGGGTCGAGTTTGCCCAGGTTGCCATTTTGCATTCTGATTTGAATAAGCCCCTTGTTTCTTGGTATGCATCGCAAGTTAGACAGTGCGCGGACAGACTGCCCAAACAGTGCGCGGACAGACTGCCCGCAAGCAATCCCAATTTAGAGATCATACTTCATGTATCCGGCACTTTTGGGGGAACACTCTCTCATGCATAAATACGCCTGGTGACTAAATCTCCATCCAGGGCCAATGGTAAGGGAAGTTCAAAACGTAATTGGGGCGAGGTGTATCAACCCTCAAACCTCGTTGCTTCAACTTGGTTGCCCTTTGTGACCGGATGCTTGCGATTCGCTATTCCCCAGCAAAGGGCGTGAAGTCTAATTGAAGCACGGTCTGCGTGTCCCAAACTCACAAGTGGGCAAATGTTTTGTCACGGGATATTGACACGCCCTCAAAATACGGGCCCCAAATATGGACCCGTAAATGCCCCTTATCATATACACAAGTGGGTGGTACAATCTACGTTTGAGGCGCGCTTGAGGGGGCACATGCTTTCTCCTGGTTTATCTTTCACCTTTTCACTTCGCCTCCCCGTCTCGGCATTTCGGCCCATGCCCTTCTTGCTGGATTCACCATCCCCCAACCACTACCGCCAGGGAGTCAATGGGATATACAACTACTACCCTCCCTCTCACAGGAGGGTCCTAGAATGCTGCTCTCCTTTTGGGGAAGCCCCAAAATGTTCTGTTGGAGGGTATGTTCGATGGGTTTGAAGTTTGAAGGGGGCAGGATGTTTTTTAATGACCACCGTCCCGTTCCGTGAATGCTGCGCAAAATTTTAACAATTAAAAAACACAAACAACGTGCTGGTGAGAACCCCTGCTAAGTCCTAAAGGGTGCTGCTTTCAAACCCATCCAGAAGGGACCTCCCACCCGGAGATTTCCCTCCCCACCCCAAACCCACGCCTCCGGGTCATCACCCAGCCCCGCGCCCAGCGTGTACTGCGCTTCCACGGAGCCGGCCTCTGCCGCCACCTGCGAGTTCGAAGCTTCGCGGGTGCTAGCCTCACTTGGGTTGCCCAAGAATTCCCCCCCGGCCCCGCCCCGGCTCTTTTTGGACCCGGTACTTGCGGTCCAACAAGAGCCTCTAAATTTGAGGCGTCATTTGTGAAAGTGCATTTTACATCAAGGGGGCCAATTGATTTAGAGACAAACCCACCACTTCCTTGGTGGATGTGTCAGAAAAAGTCCCTGGACGTTTTGTTTACTAAAATCACCCAGGCCCATCCAAAATAGCCGAAAGTGAGAACTTGTTGATCTTCCTCCGGATATGGCCAACACTTCCCAAGGGCGACGGGGGAGATCAAAGGGGAATTCTAGTGCTTTTCGAATTCCCCCCTTGTTATAACCGGGAAAAGGGGGGGCAACAGACAAAACGCGAGCAATATAGCAACCCCCCCCCCCCCAAAAAAAAAGAAGCGACGACCAACTGAACCTGGCCCAACTCTGGAGTCCCTGAAAGATGACGTGCTCAGATGCCTCACGCTAACCACATTTCGCCTACCCTAAAACACAACAGATCTTGGAGACCCGGTAAACGTTCAAGCATGCCAGGTCTGCCTTAGTTGTTCGTTGATCTCTGGCTAAACGATTTCACGTTTGGTGACATGTGATAAAAACCCAAAGGGCCAACATGTTGAGGAACCGTATGGCTGGGAACAGCGCCGGAACCGCTTGGTTCGGAAAATCCAGCCCAAGAAAATGCAAGCTGAGAGCTCCCTGCCTGCAGCCAGAAGAAGGCTTGCGGCTCGGGCGGGTTCTGAAACGCCAGCGCCAGGGCATAAAACGTGTCCTCGCGCGAACTGGATGGCTCAAGCGCGAGCCAAGAGGTTTTGCTTGCGTCGTCTCAGTTGCCAGGACCCAGAAATGAAAGGTGACCATCTTTTGTGGCCATGAGTAACGATGGACCGAGGCAATAGGTTCGATCACAAAGTGGTTCGGAAAACGGATGCCACACGCATGATTCTTGTTTTGAGGTAAGCTGGAAGCCATTCTTGGAACCTGGCAAAATGGCAGCAGGTCAGCAATGGTCCGTTGCTTTGCGATTCTCTTTTTTTGGATCAGTTTGGCATACCCCCAGGAATAAATTCAACTTTTACTTGTTGGCGGGGCAGGGAGGTCCCTTTGCTTTTCGGCTCCTTTGCTCGGTTGACCAGTTCGGCATACCTACTTTGCCACTCAAAGCCAAAGCTGGGACGCCAACATGGAAAGGCGATCTTTTGGAAACTCATCGATGGATTGCATTGGTAAATGATTTGGCCCAAAGCCGGTAGAATCTCAGCTTCTTTCTAATTGATGGCATGGAGCCCAGTGGCTTGCTGTTCTGGAGGGGATTCCCATGCAAACCCTCTACAAGAAGGGGTTCAAATCCAACTCCAAACCACCAATTTGGGGTAGTGTGAGAATGCGTTTCAACTATTACCTTGCCTACTTCGTGGTTTGGTGGTTTGGCCAGGAACCACCTTCCCCAATTTGTATGAACTGAAGTTCAACTCCAAACCACCAACCTCACGGGTTACTCGCTTGCTGAGTGGATGGCCCCAAAAAAGTCCAAACTTTATATTTTACCACTAAAATGGTCTTCCCAAAAAGTTTAAAGTTCATGAACTGAGGAAGTGAGGTTACCTCAGAATCCATCGACCTTGAACCTCGCCCGATGCGGGCCCTCGGTGGCGAGGCCTGTTACACCCCACCATGGAAGACGCCCAACACACACAAACCTCCACTTGCTTCAGCCCCCTGGAAACAAACCAGTAGTGATAGATAAACCACAGATTGCCAGAAGTCATACATTCCCTTCGAAACCAACAGGGGAAAGCAACACATATTCCGAAAATGGAAGTAAAAGGTTGGTCAAGGCCGCGCCGGGTTTGGAGAGCCCGCCCTTGTTTTACTTTGCCACGCCCCGCTCACAAACCATCCAAGTAGCGCTGAGGTTCTACATTCGAGGATTCGCCCCCCGAAGTCAATTAAAAACAACCAGCGAGTACAAGGCTAAATAATTACGCAAGCTAGTTTGGCTTGAAATATTCTACAACCCCTAGCTGATCATGACTTGACTTAATTTTACACTTACCTACAATTCGAAGATTGGACAAATATCTACTGCCTCACTATCTTATCAGGGTCAAAGTCACTCCCTAATTGGTGGGTTGAAGGGAAACAACCCCATGTTGTGACTTTGACAACCCCCAGAAACTATCAAACTAATGACCCCAGATCTAGAGAGCGTTTTTATTCACTCATTTTGGACCAGGCCAAAGCGCGCGCGTTTTCCGGGGTCCGCGAAGGCAGAGACCCGGCGGCTTCTGGCGCCAGCTGTTGCCAAGGCCTTCCGCGCCCAGTACGCCGCGGCGCTGGCGTTCGGACCGGAGGCCATGTACCTAAGTGGAGCCGAATGGAGTGGGGTGGGTTCTGATCTAGGTCCTCCAGTGGAGAGGTTAGAATACGGGTACCCTTGTTTCGGTAGTCCGTTTTAGTAGGGGAACCCTCCTCCAAAAAAGGGTGAGAAAGGGAAACGGTAAAAGGGCACTACTGGGGGACCTAGTCACGCCAATGGCTGGGAGCTCGCGTCGCTTTGGAGCGGGTATGACGCTGGCCATCGGCTGATCCCCCTGGTTTTTGTGGGACATTTTGGTGGCAGCCGGTTGGCGAAGAGCAACTTTTCGGTTTGATGTTGGCTGCTGTTTTTACAACAAAGTGTTCCCTTTTTCTAGCAGGGTCACTTGGCACATATCCTTCGAGACAAGTCCATCTCCCTTCTTGGAACCTTCACTATTGCCCTCAGATCTCCTGCTAGTTTAATTGTTAGCGGGTTTAATGAGAAACTATTATTAAATCCCCGTTATAAGTTTAGCGGGTTTAATGGAAACTGCCACTAAACACTAAACAGCTCAAAAGGCTAAGGAACCGGATGGCTGGGAACCAAGAAAGTTGCACTGTCGGACTGTCGGACTGTCGAGCGCTAGGGCGCATCTCCGCCAGCAACAGCTGGGCTCGCAGGTGCCCGCGCTCCGCCGCCTGCGGATGTGTTGTTTTCCTGGAACCCCGGGTGGAGAAGGCGCCTGGGCCTGATCTTTCCGACCCTTCCATTCTTTTCAACCATCGTTCTTTTCGAACACCAGCTGTTTTTCTTGGGGTTTTGAGGGTTCCTGAAAAGAAGGATCCCTGGAAAGAATCTGGAAGCTTCCCCTAGAACCCTTGGCATGGCCTTGCAACAACCCTTGTTTCTAGCAGCCCCCCTCCGCCCCCCCCTCCCGAAATGCTGTTTTGCAGCCCCCCGACGAAAAGTGAGCAGAACCAAACTTTCCACCCTCTGGTATGGTAGCCAATGTTGCTTTTTGCAGCCCCCGGGCGAAAAATGAGAGCAGAACCTAAAAGCAACGGACACAAAAACCCGAAACCCTGATCCAACGGTGAAGTGATACCCAGTCCGTGGAACCGGGTCCGTTCATATGATGGAAGTTTGAGTTCCGGACTCCGTCAGCATCTGGTGGGAGTTGCATGTGCAAGGAGCAGTTTCCGCACGTTCACAAGACGTGCCGACACAATTGGAAGGAGGGGTTGGGGTACTTGAGAACTAAATCTAGTTATCGCAGACGAATACGGTGTGTAATTGTCATTCTGCTGCGATCCGATGGTTGACATCATGGGCCTGCCATCACTGTAACCCGGATCGCTAACCTGCATCCAATGCTCACCTGCCTATACGACATGAGAATGACCGGTGAGCCTTTCGCAACCGTGACTAAACGCATTTCCTGACTAAAATGACCAAACAACGTCCACACTTTTTGCGTACCACTCATTGAAATGGTCTTCCCAAAAAATTGAAAGTCCACGAAGAAGTCAGGGAGTGGGCATGAGTGGGCAAAGGTAGAGAAACCAAAAGACTATGCTGACAGGCAAAACCCCAGCGGATTGGTTAGAAAAAGTCCAAGCGTTTTGGTGGCCACTCATTAAACTGACTTTGCCCTGAAACTGGGCACCCTTTAAACCAACGCACACAAAAAACGACAGCGACCATGCAAGCCTCAACAACTCAAGTCGGACCATGGCTTAAAATGGCTCACCTTGGTTTGAGGCAGGGGTCTTACCCAACATGCTCATTTCACATCAAATTAAAACCGGCCCAGAAAAAGGCGCAAGTTTACAAGTTGAAGTCGGCCAAAGCATTGTCCGGACTTTATGTTCACCGCTAAAATGACCTCCCCAACATGTTCAAGTCTATGACGGGGGAAGCGAGCTACGGCTCAACCAGCGCGGCACCACGGCCTTCTCATACCACTGCTCCTTCTCGCTTTGGCTTCCGAGCAGTGCGGCCTGGAATTGCGATTCCACATGGCCCTGGCGCGCTGCACGCAAGTACCTGAGGTACCGTGGGTCAAAAATAGGTACCCAAAATGGAACCCTGGCAAATGGAAACATGGACTCAACCCTGCGGTCCCCTGTTGGTTCATTTTGACCCAACCCAGGCAAGGGCCACGGCGTGGCCTTGGGATTTAGATGTGGGCCTTGTCTTTCTTTCGAGACACCTGATTCAAAGGGTTTGAAACCACAAGGAACACCAAATGTTTTTTCCCTGTAAGGGGGGGGGACACTAAGCAAGACACCCAATATGTTGATTTGAGGATATACACAAGTGTGACAAATGGCTTCCGTGGACAAATCATACTTTGACTGGGCCATGGTATTGAATTGGACTGAAATTGGACACCTCTCTTTGGCTGGCTTGCTTCAGTGGGCAAAAGATCTGTTGCCCGTCCCCCTAAAAAACAACAACAACTTTCTTTTCTTAATAGCATAAACCGACCAAAAGAACAACAACAGCAAACAAAGCCAGTTGGCTTTTCCCCTTCTGCCTTGCAAGGCCTTTGCTGTCGGGCGAGCCGCCAACTGAGCGCATCCCCGGACCGCAGCTGGCCCGCCACGGCGAACTGGGCGAATGGGTCCCCTGCCTCCGCGGCGGACAGCCTGGGATTAGGCTGACGGGTTTCGGGTGGTTTAACGTGGTTCCTCGGTCGCTTTCCGCTCCCCTGCTAAAAGTGACTAACTTTTAGTGGTTTAGTGGAAAACCCATTAGTTGGCAAGAAGTTAAAGTCCTAACAGCCCTGGGCAAAATGCACCAAAGGTTTGGGGTCCTTTTTTTTCTCTCCCCTCCTGTGGATAGGACCAAGATCCATGGCCAAGATCCCCGGCGATCGCCGCCACTTGGTGGTTTATTCCGAATTTCGTCCCCCCATGCAGGAAGGGCAGAAAAGGGCCCCTGCCCACAAACACTAGCCGTTTCGGTCTGTTTGGGTATGTGATAAACAACGGCGCCCGGGGCGCCAGCAGAACAGAGAGACAACCAAAGGACACAAACTCCTGGCAAAAAACAAAACAACTCGACAAAACACACTTGGGTGCCCACTTGGAAAGGGAAGGAACCCAAAACCAAGGTTCCACCCTTATGTCATTTTCTTAAGCAACCCACACCCAATGGTCTTTCAAGTGTCCACTTTTTGGATAACACACACAAACTAGTTTTGAGGTTTGGGGGCACCCCTGGAAGCCATGCCCGGCCGACACAACTCCCAAAAGACGCCTCCCAAAGATTTTGCCGTACACTGCAGGGGAAGGCCTGGGACTTCTGGATGTGTTTTTTCCCCTCTTCCTGGAGAGAGCACCACTTTTTGGATGTGGCTTTCAGGGAAACCAAAAGGAACACCAACATGTTCTTCTTTTTGCGGGATTCAGGTGTGTCGTTTTTTGAGGGTACCATCTTGTGGGGTCCATTTTGGGGGAGGCCCTAAAAAAACGCACCCATGTGAGTCACAACCAAAACCCAGAACCGTGTAAAGAATCAAAAAGGCGGCTGCACCCATTTCTGGTTGGGACTATCCCTTACCAACCTGCATCTATACCCGGGTTGTGAATTGATCGTGGCTCATTTTTTGACACGGTACCAAGTCTAGGTCCTCCAGTAGAGAGGTTAGAATAAGGGTACCTTTTTTCTTTTTCTTCTTCTGCAGTCTATTTTAGTAGGGGACCCCTCCCCAAAAAAGAAACGGTAAAAGTTGGCACCTAGCTGGGGGACCTAGAAGTGCATCCGGGCTGCTGCAGTTGCTTGAGGTTCACCCCCTGCCACCGCGCCAAGTTGCCCTCGGCGGACCGGCTTCGTGTGGACGCGACCAGCGCCTCGTGGGGCGAAATGGGGCGCAGGGCCTTCAGCCGCACGGAGACGGGGCGGTCCAGGCGAACCAAGGCGTGCAACCTGGGCACTCGGCTAGGGGCTGGGGCCCAACGGAAACAAGATGTTTGAGTCTGGTCCGTACTTAGTGAACATCAACATGGAAACACATGGATATAAAGGAATCATGGATGTATGGAAACACGCAGGGATTTCTACAGGAACTTAGCCAAATAGATGATGAACTGTCTGTAGAACTTTCTGGGGCTGGCACGGCTAAGAGACGAGTCAAAAATAGGTACCCAGAAAGGTCACACATGGAACCCTGGCAAATGGAACCAAGGACGAACACCTGCGGTCCATATGCAGGTGGCTTAATTTTGACCCATACCCATCTTTTCCCATCTCTAGAACCCCACCCCTCCCCACGGAAGAAAAACACACCGAGCATTGAAACAACGCCCAAAGAAACGAAAGCAACATCTTTTCAACACATCTGCATGGATAGCATGTTTGATGGTGGTACTTTCGATTTTGTCTAAATTGACAGCGAAGCAACGGCAACTCCGCCGCTTCTGGGGTCAACTGGAAGGAGACCTCCATGTTCACCTGCCCTGGGCCCAGGCTTGGGTTCATCAAACTGCCTAAACATGCCAAAGATTTCCCCTTAAAGGGCACCGGGCATTGGCAACAGCGAAAAGCCTAACTTTTGCTTGCCTCAGTTGTGGAGGACCTGGAGATAAAAGCTGAACCTCCTGGCACCTTGACCAAAAATAGGCCAAACCAGACAACCAACAGGTCAAAAGGTCGGCTTTGGGCAACTGAGTTACTGCTCAACTGATCCCCTCACGTCCAAGTCTGGTGTGTTGAAAGGCAGGGGTCGCTCAACTTTTGGCGCCCAAGCCTGGGCCAAAGAACGTCCCGGCCAGCGGCAGAATCACAAAGTCCCAGGATGGGTCGCCCGCCGAATGCGCCATGAGCTGTGGATTTTGGGCCGCCAAGTGCCGCGGGAGCAGAAACCCCGGGCTTTCTACCACCTCGCCAGTCCGCAGGGCTTTGCCAGCCTCGAAATGCGGCCAATCCGAAATGCGTGCTTTTTTTGGCTTGAGGGGGGTCCGTCCTCTTCAAAAGGCGGCAGCCCGGCTCCAAAAAGGAAAAATACTCTTGACAAGCCCGCAAAAAGGTACTAGCCAGACATGCTTTGACGAGCGGCCGCAACCCCTTGACTCTGAGCGACGAGTGCGTCCATGCACCTGCCATCCTGAAAAGAACTCCTTCGTGTTTGCAGGCCGGGCGCGGGCTGGCTGTAGTTGATCCACCGGTCTAGGAACCAGTCGTCGCTGCCATAGGATGTGAACAGCTCCTCTCCGGCTTCCTTGGACAAAAAGATCCAGCCCCTTGCAACGAGCTGCTTGCCCTGATTGAAATTGGAAATGACTGATAGGTGCAAGTGCCAACCAGACACGGGTTCAGGCACTGGTTGGGCGACAGCCCCTATGTAGTGAGCAGGAGGAAACCTCCGGAAAAGTGGAAACGGCGACATTGCAACAAGCTTACTTCAACCCGGCCATGCTTCAGTATTCCGATTCGCCAGCAACCAGGTGGAGGTCCTGTTTCGCGACACGCGCACGTTCACCATCTGCGAAGACCCATGGTTCAGCATGGACGCTGGCCCCAGCAGCACGGACGGGCCGCTGGGCAAGTGGAAGAAGTAATTCCACAGCGACGTAGCTTCGGCTTCATGACCAAGGAGCACCTTCCGGGCTTTACATCTGCAAGCTTGAAAAAACACGCCTTCAGACTTGAGCAAGACTTGGTTGCTGGAACGACCCTGCAAAAAGTTTAACTTTTTGGGAGTTTAGTGGAACAACCCCTTGACTTCCCGAAAAGTTAAGTCTAAAGATCCAACCCAGTAGTCAAGAAGAAGTGCGGGGGTGTCAACAAAAGGAAAGCTTTTCAAAATGCCCAAGTCACATGTGAACCCGGATTTCCAAGCACAAATCCCATCAGGTGTGGAGGCCACCACTTCGTGCGACTTTTCGCCTTCCCGCCTCCCGTGCCTCCGCCAAAGGTTCCTCACTTGCCTTTTGGGTGGCCGTCACCAAAAGTAGGCCAAACCCGGAAGAGCACAAGGCTTAGGCAACCACAACTCCAGTACTGGAGGCTAACATTTTACTAAACGTATACAGTGCCAACACAAAAAAAAAAACCAAAAGTGCCGCATATTTGTGCATAGCTGAGTTTTTGTTTAACGATAAAAAGAAAGAAACAAACAACGAGAAACCATGAGGTCCTTCCAGGCCGATTTGCATCCTCGTGTCGTTTGCCCTGAAGGATCTGCCCGCAAAGACGCCTTGCCCGGTGCCGGGCAACGTCGAGGTGGCCAGCCACAAGTTGCAGTCCGCGGCCGCGGCGACGAAAAGAAACGGCCAGGCGACAAAACGCATGGCATCGCTTGAGGCATCCGCTGAGAGATGAGTATGTGATATGTGTTTCGTTGATGGCACCCTTCTTGGGGTTATATGCGGGAAGCCAAGTTTTGTTTGTTGAAGTTGGTACACGTTTTGGGGTGCAGCCAACGGAAAGCCAAGAGAAGTAGCTATTCTTGTTTGGTGTCTCCAAACGGAAGGGACAAGAGGCATGGCGGCTCCCTTGAGATGTTTGGGAAACGCCTGCTGGCCTGTAGGGAAAGCAAAAGCAATCACGCGACAGCGCTGCGGGGAAAGTTTGACAAGCCAGTCGCTCTTTGGGTACCTTTCGTGGGCTGGTGTAAAGGGACACCAACATGAAAACCATCATTGTGGGGGCCCTTTGGAACCTGGACTGGCCGTTCTGCTGGAACTGGCATAGCTGTATGCAAGCGAGGCAAGCTCTCGCCCTCTCGCGACATGAGACTCAGGGCAGGCAAACACTCAACTGGTGCCAAGCTGTCCACTACATTAAGCATCCCTTCTTCCCGAAGAGGGCGGCTACGTGAAAGCGGGTCAGCCTTTGGAGAGCTAAAACAAGCCCAAGTGGTTTTCGAAACCGTAAATTTGTCAAGGGGTAGGTAGTGAGCCCGCAGTGGTTCAGTGCACAATGATAAAATAGTTAAGCAGCACCTTAGTCAGAGCCGAGAAGTTGTTCGGAATTTGAAGGGTTCAAATTGGCGCCAAGAGGTGGTGTTTCAAACTCCTCATTCTAAAGGGCTGGCCTACATGTCTTTAAAACGAAGCGGCATCTTCCCTGACAAAGGCGGCCAAAGAAGAACAAGAGTGGCTGCAACACTGTTCTCCTGACCGTCACGCTGACATACCATTGGCCAAGATGCAAAACAGAAAGCCCAATTTAGTTGGCATGCCCACAACACATGGAACCTAACGAAGGGGCACAACTAGAGAAACAAATCTCCCGCGTTTTTTCTTCCAAAAGTAATTAGTAATGGCATATGCAGCCCTAACCCCTGACAGATATGGGCGTACAACCTCACTGTCGGACAAGACGGCCCCCCTGCAAATGATTCGGCTCTGTGACCATCGAATTTGGGGATGAGCCCTCTGTCCTTCAAACTGCTATTGACTTGCACCTCCGTTTGTGAAACCTGGGGGCTGAAGGTCGGAAGTGTCTGAACAACTTGTTTTCCAAGCGGCTCCCTTCCTTCAAGAGGCCAGCTGAAAAACGCCAATGCCCGGCGACACAACTGTGTAAGAACTTCAGGATTGGGCCGACTCCTTGCTAGGTTGTTTAAGCACTACTGGGGAGGGTTGCGAAATCCGTTCGCAGCACTTTGAAACCACGGTTGAAACCATTGTTTGTTTGGTATTCACAGGGGAAGTATCATTCCAGGGCTTCGTAGGTGGTGCAGGATTTGGTCCATCCACAGCAGTAATAACGGTTTCAACCTTGGCTGAGCACAAATTACCCAACTTCGCAAGCTCATGGCTAAAGACCGGAACTCCCCATGTCCCACGGGGCCAGTCCGATTGAATGCCACCTTGGACTCTTCTACCCCGCCCTCTACCTTAAAGGAAAGGGGGGTGGGGAATCACCCAGTTCCATTCTAGCCTCGCAGAACGAAGAATATGAAGCTAACTGAAAAACTACCAACGCCTCACCATATCATATCCCTCTGCCCTCGGTTGCTTTCTGCTCCCCTGCTAAAAGTGAATAACTTTTAGTGGATTAATACGGGAAACCTATTAGTGGGCAAAAAGTTAAGTCCTAACATCCCTTGGCAAAATGCACCAAAGTAAACTCGGCCCTAAAGTCTCCTAGGTTGAGAATGTGGGGGCCCAAACCCAGAGATCAATTCAAATCCAATGGTCCGAAGGATATCTCACAGGTCACCGTATCATATCCCTCTGCCCGTTTTGTCGCGGGCGACATGTTTTCGACCTGCTCCCGCGCCGGATCGATCGACTCGATGATCGATCGCCTCTAAGGCCTTCTTCTTGAAGCCCCAGGTGCAATGCCTCGCTTCCAGCTACATGGCGATGCACCAAAATACGGGTTACCCTCCCACAAGCTTCACATCACAACCCGCAAGTGTTGTTGACCCCGGAATTTATACCCCCCTGTTTCTCAATATAGGGGTGTCCCTGGTTTAGAGGGGGAACAAATCAACATGTTTTTGTTAAATCTGGGGTCAACCCTAAGAGTCATAGGCGTCCTTTTAGGGCAAATAGATGGGTTTCCCTGCTGGATGATTCAACCACCAGGTAAAGCAGGGCTCCCACCAGCTAACATGGGTTTGTGCACAGACCCCTGTGGAAAGACTACTTTCTTCTTGGCTAGTTGGCCTTTTTGCACTTCCATGTTAGTTGGTGGAGGGTACTCCCGCGTGTGTCTGCAACCTGTGACCTGGCGGGACCCGTCAAGCCATTTGGGGCATGCCGCCAGAGGAAAGCTCAGGGTCACTAAGGCGCACAGAATGCCATCCCCACAGCGTTGCGGGGCTGAGTCTCACCCGAAAAAAGAAAAAAAAAAAAAGGAAAAAAAAAGAAAAAGAGAAAAAAGAAAAACGAAAAAAAAAAAAAAAAAGAAAACAGAAAAAAGGAAAAACAAACAGTGGGGCCGAGCCGTGCGCCCTTCTCAAACCCTCGAAGTGGCCGAGGCCCTGAGGCTCCGAGGCCCTGAGGTTTTGGCGGGATCCAGAAGTTGTCCTTGGCGAAGGGGTTGTACTTCTTCTCCGCGCCGATGAAATCGTTGCCTGGGAGACCGGTGCGGCACAGCGGCTTGCGGCCGGGAGAGCGAGTGAGTTGGAGGAGAAAGAGCGGGGAGGTACAGGGGAGAGAGGGAGAGAGAGAGAGAGAGAGAGACGGAAACACAGACAGAAAGACAGCAATACATATAGAAAGCGATCAGGAAAGCAAGAATCAAACAAATAAGGACAATAATAAAGACACATAACAGATATTCCAAAATAAGAACTAACGATCAAAAGATCGAAGGACCAAACAAAGACGACCGAAAGCAACACACAACATAACGACAGAACAAAGTAACACAAGAACGTAACGCAATTACATAATTTGGAAATAACAAAAGAAACAACGAACAAAGTACATCAAGCAAAACCTAACATAAATGGAGAGAGAAAGAGAGAAAGAGGAAGGGAGAAAATGGACGCCCAGATCCGAGGTCGACAAACCTCTGATCGATTGAGAGGCGGGCGTCTTCGTTTGAAGGGCTTTCGGGCGACTGGGTCACGTGAAAAATGACACTCGAATTGGCGGTGTCAAGACCCCCCCAAACGCAAATTGTTGGAACCTCTTGTGACCAACATGGGGCGTCTCAAAATGCGCCCCCCCCCCCCCATCAGAAAAATAAATAAATAAATAAATAAATAAATAAATAAATAACAAAGCATTCCTCAAAAAGTGGACCCCTCAAAATGGGCCGCACCCCTGCAAACAACGCGAACGCGCGGGGGAGAACTGCTGGGCAGATTCGAATTCCGAGCTCTTTCTCCTCCAACTCACTCGCTGTCCCGGCGATTCTTCGTTCGAAGGGCTTTTGGGAGACTGGGTCCATTGAACAATGACATGGCGGTGTCAAGACCCCCGCAGATGCAATTTGTTGGAACCTCTTGTGACCAACATGGGGCCTCTGAAACATGTGACGTCTGAAAAAGCGACCCCCCAACAAATAACACAGCATTTTTCGAAAAGTGGAATTTTCAAAATTGGCCCCACCCGTCCAGCGTCCCGCAAAAAAAAACACGCGCTCGCGCGGGGGAGAAACTGCTGGGCAGATTTAGATCGAGCCATGGGCAACCATCGCAGGGTGACGATATTGGCAGCTGTTGGCCATTTGGGGTGCCTTGGCTAGGGGTTGATTCCTTGTCCATTCTTTTCAGCCATCGTTCTTCTCAAAAACCAGCCATTTCCCCAGGGTTTTTGGTGGTTTTCCAGAGAGAAGGATTCCTGGAAAGAACGGGGAAGTTGCCCCTAGAGCTCTGGCGTCGAACTTAACCTGCAGAGAGCAACAAACATTGTTCCTTGCGCCCTCCCCCCACTACCCAACAAGAACATACAAGAAGGGTGCTTTGTCAGACTTACACCGCTGGTAAAAAGTCCATTTGCGATTGCTGGCAAATGATGGAAACTCAAAGGGGCAAAAAATCGGGGGTCCTGGGTTGGACATGTTTTCCTTGTAAAGGCTCCCCTGAACGTCAGGTTCCCTGTGAATTGGTGGGAGGGTACCGCAGCCATCGCAAAATGATTCCTTTGGGGAAAAGGGAAGCCATGACGTCATGCCCCATTGGAGTTTGACCATGGCGCCGGGGCGAATAGTTTGGTAACATGTTCGTCCTTTGCTCATTAGTGGAAAGCAGTGGACCCTTCACGTTTCTGTGCTGAGGCCCAGGCCCCCTGAGTGCAGGATCACCAAACCTACGGCGCTTGCAAATGGAAGCCTTCCCTATCTACACGTAATAAATATAAATATATATATATATATATATTGTACATACGTGTGTGATAGATATGTCTTTTTTTGTCGGTCAGCTTCGATGTGCCTCAAAACTTGGGAAACTTGATTTGGCTGTGTGGCCTTTTCGACCCCCGGTTTCTTCTTGGACGTGGGTCCATGTACAACCGCTCAGTTCGAGGTTTCCCGTTCTGGGCTGTTACAGATCCCCTCCTAAAAGTCTAACCTTCCGTGGTTTAGTGCAAACTATCACAAACCAACTGCGAACTTACCCTCCCTCCAACAATCATGGAAGTGGACAGGGGGCTTCCCCAAGAGGAAAACAGTCTTTCAACACCCTCCTGTCAGCTTCCATGATTGTTGGAGGGAGGGTAAACACCTAAGGAACTGGATGGCTGAGGTTGGCCAAGCCGATTTGACCCCTGATGCCCACTGCACGCTCTCGGCTGCAATTCGTGGGTGCATGTCAGGCTCCAGAGTGATTTCCTCCCGCAAGCGCTCCGCGCAAATCATGACCCCCAGGAGAAAAAGGGCTATATGACCATATACATATATTTATGTCTACTACACGGCCGCTAAACAGCAGCGTGGGACCACTGCCTTTGTCTGGGGGCCGTCTGGTTTGGGTCTGGAAGGCATCGAGCAACCAGCGGCTCCGAGTGCGAGGCATTCGCTCCAAACCGCCGGGCGGTCAGCCAATGCCACCTGGCCATGCGGCATGGCCCGTTGCATCAAGGGCCCCCCTGGTTTTGACGCGGCTGTGTTTGTCCAAACCGTTTTGGGATCCCATTTTGGGGGATTTGTGAATGACCAACAAAATTTGGAACATATTTTAGAGGGGTTTGGGATGTTCACTGGGGGTACGATTTGGATTTTGACCCATGCCCACCTTTTTCCTTCTCGCCTCACTTCCAATCCAAATCGTAGGTGGGCAAAAAGTGAAGCCCCAGCACAAACGTTCGCAGCTATCGTTCCAAGAGGTTCCGTCTTCGTCTGGCAGTGGAAAAGAAAGCTTTGCCTGCCACCAACTGCCAAAAGGGTTTCTGATGTGAGTCTAGGGGAGGCTTCCCCATTCTCCTCAGGGATCCTAACCTGCTGTCTAGAGGGGTGCCAAGGTTTTGTTGACATAGCAGGCAGACAGGTTCGGTGCCTTGCGGATGGAAGCGGGCAAACGACCGGTCCAAGTGAAGATGTGGGTGTGCCAAGAAAATGGGAACCCAAACTGGCTAGTTTCTCAAACTAATTTTCAGGAAAGCATCCAATACCCAAGGGAAACAGCTGGTTTTGAAAAGAACGATGGCTGAAAAGAATGGGGAATCAAAAACAATTACTAACATTCTGCTCCATGATCATAGCTGATGGTGATTCTAAAGCACCCCACGGCCCCATTCTAATCGTTCAGCACCTTGGCACGCACTTTTAGGCAGCCGGCCCTTCATTGTCCCAAGCAAGGAGTCTCAAAAAGGCCAAGCCTTGTGTGTGGCACCTTGCTGAGTGCCTGAGTGGAGGTTGGCAAAAACGCCTCATAGTCCACAAGAGACATTGGGCCCCCGCGATTCTCCGGAATGGTGCTAGACACCCGAGCGGCCCCCAAGAGTGTTCTGAACCTTCCTGTGGGGAGCCTTGGGCGTGAGAGATTCGATTTGTATGTTCAATTGTTTACATTATAACATCTTTGGCGCAACTCTTGACTTTGATACGTTTCACGTTTTGATATTCAACCTCTGATCATGACCACCCCTTTCACAAATCGAACTTCAATCTCCAGCCTTTGTCCCCACTGACCAACCAGAACAAAAGAAGCCAGACTTCTGCAAGAAAGGCCCCATCGACCGTCCAACAAAACAGTTGCAAGGAAGGCCCCCAGATTGGCTCCCTCAAAAGCCAACCCGCTCGCCCGCGAAAGCTCTCGTCGCACGTTCGGAACGAGGCCTTGGCCGCCTGACCAGAGAGCTACCAGCCACATCCAACCACAAAGACCCAGCCACAAAAGCCACATCCAACCAGCTACCAGCCACACCCTGTAAATCACAGGCATCCATAAACCTTGGTTTGCTTTTCGCCCCACAGAAAAACAAAAAACAAAACAACACACATATTTCCAGTAGTGATAGATTTCCTTTAAGACATCAACAAGGGACAATAAACAAGCATATTCTTAAGCAAATGGAAGTAAAGGCCTGGTAATCATGAGAAACTTGCAGCTCCCAGCCGTCCCCACAGGTTTTTCGGGTTTGGTAAGGGTTTCCATTTAACCCACAAGGAAAACAATTACAGTAGCTTGGGATCAACAGTTACAGTAAAGCCATTCAACCACAAAAGCCTGGCAAAGTATGGTAAGTGTGCGGTAAGCTTGGGCAAATTACAGGATGTCCAACATGTTTCCCACTTGCAATATTTTAGGGCACCAAAAAACTGCCTCTGCCGGTTGGTACCAGTTTGTTCCACCTGGTGCAAAGCAGACTTTACAGTCGCAGTGTGGTTGGAGTCAGCCTCTGTGAGTACAGGCTTCACAGCATGATCCCACATTTTATGGAGAGCAGCTGCAGTGGATATAACTTCTGGCCTTTGAATCTGCAAGCAGCTCACTTTCTGAAAGAAGGTCACAACAACGAACATTGGCAGTCAACATGCCATCGAGGCTTTAGTATGTCCCACACATCCCACCCAAAATGTGGTAGTTTGCTTCAGGAAGGGCACGCCACCAACATGGTTGGTTTATCTTTGGCTTCTTTCAAAGCCAATCAACGGGGGTTCTGACCCCTGCAAAGCGAAAAGGGGGATCCCAACCCAAGAACGCACAACCATGTTCAAACATGCCATCAAGTCTTCTCTCCTCGTCCTCGGAATCACCCAGCCAAAGCGCGCGAATCTGCACGTCGCCGCGGCTGAGGGAACCATGGATACTCTTCTTCTGGTTTGTGTGTAACACGCACAAACACACAAATACCCACAAAAATACACCAACAAACAGACACACTAACACAAACAAGTAAGCAAACAAAAGACAAGCAAGCAAACAAACACACACACACACACACACTCTCACAAAATCACACACACACCACAGCGCACAATGACACACACACACACAAAATCACACAATCACACGATCTCACACGCACACAACACACACACACACAAACACGCAACCAATCACAATCACACACAAACACACACAGACACACACACACACAGACACACACAGACACACACAGACACACACAGACACACACAGACACACACACACAGACACACACACACAGACACACACAGACACACAGACACACAGACACACAGACACACAGACACACAGACACACAGACACACAGACACACAGACACACAGACACACAGACACACACACACACCCACACACACACACACACGCACGCACACACACACAAACACACACACACACACACCCACACACACACACCCACACACCCACACAGCCACACACCCACACGCACACGCACACGCACACGCACACGCACAATCACGCACACCAAAGCACACGCACGCACACGCACACACACTTATCTCGAGAGGCTTCACTAGCCGAGATGCAAAACGCAGTCAGTAAAAATGCTTGAATGCAAATGCAAATCAACAGGTCACAACATCGACACCGAACAGGAAGCAACAGCGACAAACAGAAACCGCAAAAAGAATCAGGAAAGAGGGTCAGGAAATAGGCAGGTACGCCGGATTGATCAGATCCGGTATCCACCGAAATGCCGTAGCTTCATTGGACTGGATAGGCAAATCGGCTCCAGTCCCCCTGCAATGTGGAATTTCCGTCCGTGCTCCAGGACGCTTCACACACACGGAGCCCCAACTGGGGCGACATCACTTGTGCAAGGCCCATTGAGTCTTGCAAGCATCAATTGTGCGAGAAAGTCTTGTGGCGATGACTGACCACACATACTTGGCTTTGGAATTGGTCTTAAGGGAACGGAGGAGTTCAATCTCTCCCTCAGTCCAAGGCTGCGAGGCTTCAGGTTCGGCCTCAGTAGAGGCATCAGTCCTGGTCGATGTGGTAGCTTCGCTTGGTCCACGAGCAGGTTTTGGATGCCGTAGATCGTGAGGAGGCCAAATCACGTGCGCGGCGAGCTCGTTTTTCGCCGGGAGAAGACGGAGGAGGGGTGGGCGGAGCCCAATGATCAGGG